CACTTGTCAAATATATGTACAAGTGTCTTTGTGTAGACAAGGTATATAAACCTTATTTTTTTGTATTAATGATATAATTCTGATCATTATCTCCAGTACATATGCACTGTTCTTTCTCTCTTCATAATATTAACACTCATCGCCATCACCTATCAAAACTATTCTTAAGAGGGAAGCTACGAGATGATCCACATTTGAGCCATCAAATTTTTGCCAGCAAACATTGTCAAGTTAACTTTGTGGGATTGTGAGATGAAGCAGGATCGAATGGCTGTATTGGCAAAGTTGCCTCATTTGAGGACTCTTCAATTATCGACTCTCTCATATAAGGGGACCAAACTGGTTTGCTCTGCCAACAAGTTTCTTCAACTTGATTGTCTTGGTATTTGGGAGTGAGAAGAATTAGAAGAGTGGCAGATAGAAGAAGAGGCAATGCCACGTCTTCGGAGTTTAAGTCTGAGTTTGGTTCCAAATTTGAGGATTTTTCCAGAAGGTTTGAGGTATGTTACTGCTCTCCATGAAATGGAATTATACAGGATGAAGAGGTCATTGGTAGAGAGGATTCAAGTGATAGACAGAAGAGAAGGAGAGGATTTCTTTAAAGTGCGCCGCATTCCCTCCATCCAAATAAGTGATACGTAGGAAGGTTAAAAACTCTAATTTTGCAATGTCAATCCTCAACTCAAAGTAATTGCTTGTGAGTTAGATATTTCTATGATAATCTTTTGTGTTTCGATTTGGGTCTATTCTTTTCATAAGAGATGATGCCATTTTCTTCTTAGTGTAGGTCAATCTAATCGGCCCAGAAATATACTCTACCAATAAGAGCAACATGGGGGATCACCTGGATTTGCTTTTTGACTGTTTGAAAGTTTAATTTGTATTTTTTTTCCTTGATAATTGAATCTAATGACCAAATGCTTTTTAGAAATGAATTGCTGTGAGTTTGAATGAACCGATTGTTATTTTGTAGACTTCAATTTAATGCTTATGATGGTGTAGAGGATAACAAATAATATTTCATTCCATCTTTTTTTGCAACCTTTCTCTTCTAAATTATTTGCTTATCCAAAGAAAAAGAAGTAACTTGTGTATGGTATTCAAGGCAGGACTTCCACATTGTTTTGTGCTATCGAAACTTTGGGTTTATGCCTAATTTGTGCTGCAATTAAAGTAAATCCAAAGACAACTGATAAAGATGGAAGAAATTGAGTTATTCAATGTTACATGGGAATCAGAAATATTGAGACTAAAGTATATATCATTAATTATGCATTCTATTATTATTAGGTTTTGGTAATTATTGCTTTCAGACACTCTTTAAGATTATTATATTAAATAATTTATTTTTTTCAATGAATTAAATTTCGTAACATTAACAGTAAAACGATCAATCAATTTTATTTATTGTACATTGAACATTATTTTTTTACGGAAATCTACATCGAACATTATTCATATCATTAATTTTATTGATTATATTTGAATTACAATATGTTTATTGTACCTATCTAAGATTCCTTACATAGGTAGCTCTTTCAATTTTTTCTTAAGAAATACTTTTTTTGTTGTCTGTTTGAGCATACAACTCTTCATTATGATCTTTCTTTCTAATATGGAATTCAATTCCCACTTCCAATTTGATAAAAATGTAGAAAAAGTCACAATTTCAATTTCTTTTCCATAATAATTGACAAAATGATAATATGATTAATGACCCAAAATATGAATTTAACCATAAAAAAAAAAGAAGGAAAAGCCCAAGATAAGGGGCATTCAATTTGTCAATTGACCTGGCCAAAATTTTCTGACATCTCAATTTCTTATATAAATAGAAAAATAAAGAAAAAATCTGATTGGATTATCAATTGTCATTTTAATGCTGAAATAGAAAACTAATGAAATTTTCTAACCCAAAGAATACGTTACAACTTGTAGCTTGGAAAGATTGTGCTTGACTTATGACTTATATGACCAAATTCTACAAGAAAAGAAAAGGAAAAATCTTTTTCTGACTCGATTTTCAATTGTCATTAAATGTTGAAATAAAAAATAACTGAAAATTTCCAACCCATTCAATACGTTACAATTGTAGTGACTTGGAAAAATTGTGGTTGACTTGATCAAATTCTAGCATGTAACCCAAAAAGCTAGTTTAAATTGCACTCTTGTCAATTAAATTGTTATCAATATGACATTTCGTATTTAGAAATCAATCAAATACTAACAAAGGGAAACTCATTATTTATTTTCTTAGCGAAGGACCGACCAAAAGTGTTTTAGATTTAATTTAAGTTTTCAGTTCTTTCAACAATCTTTACCTCAAAAAAAGAAACTTATTCGGTCTTTTAATTTATAACTAAAATAAAAAAAAATTGTGAGTGGTATTCAAGTGGTTGAGCTCCCAATATTAACAATTGTCTCCAGCTGGGGACAGCTTTAATAAATTGTTATTAATGGTGATAGGTATGGATACCTGCCTTAAGTCTGTTTCTTGGGCAATGAATTGAAATATCTCTGTATGATATTCAAGTTTTGAGTTTTTTGAGTATTGAAAAATATTGAAACTTTAAAGTACATAGGGGGCAAGACTTTAATTGAAAATAATGCAGTGTTCGACTTCACTAATATTCGGAATTTAGGAATATATTTTGAGAGATCAAAAGATGTGGAGCCTATCCTAAAAGCATTGATTGAATCACAACACCTTGGGTCTTTGTCCATGGGGTTAGAGGATTCAATTCCATACCCAGACTTGGAGCCCCTTGCTCATTGCCATCACCTATCAAGACTATTTTTAAGAGGGAAGATATGAGAAGACCCACATTGGAGTCATCATGTTTTGAAATTTCGACCAACAAACATTATCAAGTTATCTAATATATTGTAAGATGAAATAGGATCTAATGGTTATAGTGGGAAAGTTGTCTCATTTGAAAACTCCTTTCTTATTGAGATACTCATTATAACATAACAGTATATCACGATAGTATTATATAACGTAAAATGATAAATAATATTTTGATTAATAACAATTAATCAAATCTTAATTAAAAAAACCTATTTGAATAAAAATAAAAATATAAAATTTTAATTCAACGTAATAAAAATATAAATTTTATTTTTAAATATTATATTTTTTTATTTATATAATATTAGACAAACTCCATTTATATCTCTTATAATTTTAACATTTTTCACAGTATATCTCTTATTATGCCAATATCCAATTTTTTTCAATTAACACCACGTAGATATCATTTTCACAGTATGCCCGTCGGGACTCCCAGCACGGAACTAATCAGCACGCTCGTTGCAACCTTACCCACCGCAGAGTAAATCCTTCTCCTCCAACTCCCTTGGACAGCCCCACCACGTTGGACGTGGTGTCCAACATGGCCCATGGGCCCTTGGGCTGGGACTCCGAACTCATAACCGGTGCTAGGAGTTGGCGGCGGAACCCCTAAGGGCTCCTTCGGTGGCCCAAAAGCACATTCCAGATGGATGTCAACGTTGCAAGCGTCACACCTGTACCGCCACAACGTGCACATGTGAAGACACACCTTACACCACCTATGCTTCCCTGGCTGGAGCGTCAAGAGGTGATGTGGCTGGCATGCGTGTTGCACCTGTGGCACCACTTGGGTGCAAAGAGGATGCACATCAAAATCACCGGCGGGACAAGTGAAAAATAATCCGTCGACGTTTTCACCACATAGATTGCACACGCGTCCCATACCTTGTTGATTCACGAGGGTTAACACGTGCTGAGGGTGCAGGTGAAAGTTGATGGTGGGGGGACACATGGCACAATACTCGTGTAGAACAAAGTTGCACATGGGGCAATGGTAGCTCCTTCCTTGCCCTAAAGTGTGGCAGGCATCACATAAGTACTCTTGTGCTACGTAGCACTCAGTAACAGGATGGTTTGGATGGGTGAAATGCAGAAAACTCTGGGGGTTTTGAGATGAAGCTCTTTGTAATGATGCCATTGTTGTTAGCAATGGATGTAGGGTTGAAACTGGAAAGACAGTAGACTTATATATAGCCGTGTTAGCAACGAAACTTTCTAACCTAAAGAATACGTTACAACTTGTAGCTTGGAAAGATTGTGCTTGATTTATGACTTATATAACCAAATTCTTGAAGAAAAGAAAAAATCTTCTTCTGACTCGATCATCAATTGTCATTAAATGCTGAAATAAAAAACAACTGAAATTTTTCTCACCCAAACAACACGCTACAATTGTATTAGGCTCAATTAAATTCATTTTTTAATTATCCTATGTCTTTACATTTTAAAATTATGTCTTTTAATTTTTTTTGTCTAATTAGAAATAATGTATGCCATTCAAAGTACCCTGGATACTATTTTGATGTCAACGTGGCCAAACAACAAAGGAACATCCTCACGTGTTTGCGGCCAGGATTTCTTCTTCCATCCTTTTCTTTTTTTCTTTTTTTACACGCAATTCCTTTAGCTTCATCCCTTTCTTCTTTAATAAAGATTGAACTTGTCAAAGAGTTCTTGTTTCCAGACCAGTTAAGACCGCTACCATGTTTTATCTTGTTTAAATTGTTTGTCACAAATTTGTCACACTTTTTTTTATCATAAAATTATAATATTAAATTAAATTAATCTTTATGATTATTTTATCACAATAATATATAAACATATTTAAATTGGTCACACGTTATTTACTTGGATTGTCCGAATTAAAGTTTTGTCACAATTTCATTGCTAATTTTATCACTAAATAAGAAATCCGAAGAAAGAAAATGTTACTTTGATTTAATTCCATCCAAATAAGGTATTTCTGGGAAGACCAACAATTCTAATTTTACAATGTCAAATCCTCAACTCAAAGTAGTTGCAAATATTGCAAGTAAGTTAGATATTTCTATGGTAACCTTTTTTGTTCTCATTTGGCTCTATCCTTTTTTCATAAGAGATGACACCATTTTCCTCTTGGTGTAGGTAATCTAATGGGCACTAAAATGCACTCTTACCACTAAGAGCAACCCGAGGGATCACCTCCACTTACTGTTTGATTGTTCGAAAGTTTAATTTATATTTTTTCTTTGATAAGTGAATCTAATGATCAAGTGCTTTTGAGAAATGAATTGGTACGAGTTTGAAAGAACAGATTGCTAAATAATTTTAGATATTCACAAGTTAATTAATTTTCAATAATGTTTAGCATTTTGATATTGTATAATTATATCTTTTAAGTTTTACATGTTATTCGTAGGCTTTAATGCTTGCTTGTTCCTCTCTCCTCCACCTCTGCTTCTTATTCCTTTATTTTTTAACCTTAATTTCAGTAGTTTGATTGAGTCTGGTTCCTTTGCATCTAATTATGGGTAATGTTTTTGAGATTAATCTAGAGTATTAGTTCATCTCTTCTATTTAATCAAGATTTGAATACCAAGAGTCAATGACGCAAAATTAACAACACCATTGCTTTTACAATATCAAAATCCTTATTTGATTTTATGTGTTAGTCTTAATTTTTCATCCCTTCCATTTCAAATTGGTTGCTGTTATTTTGTGTTTTGAATAACTCTATTAATATTTTAATTCATTTCATATCTAAAATATTATTAATTTTATCTAATTTTCTTCTATATTGATCGGCTATTATATTGGTCTTTTTCTTTCTCTTTTCTTAAAAAAAAAAAAAGTGGGAGCATCCCACACTACAATAGCATAAATGAGATAATTGATGAAAAAGAAAGTACACCGAAAAGAGTTTTTGCTTTTGCATTCATCAAAAAACACTCAAGCCTTAACTTTTGACAAAAGAGTATTCGAATATTTGATTCAAGAATAAACATATGTATAAATTTTTAGTCACAGAGTTAAATTTGAATCCTCCCATCTCTAAATAAAAATAATAATTTGTCAAAAAAAAAACATGAAATAAATCTTTTATAAAATGAAAAATACACGATAATTAAAAAAATATTATATCTTTACTCACTTGATTAATTTCTTACGTTACATTTTTTCATTGTTTGACAACTCTAGGGATAATAACTAACCTCAATAAGATTCATTTCTTACTACATGTTTTTTCATATTACAGTTAGGTATTTCAATTTTATATTTCCAATTAGAAATAATATATGTTTCTCGGTATCATTTAATCCATCAGCACATGCCATATGGTAAGGACTAAGGAGAAGGCGTCCAAACTCAACTGTGTTGTCATACTACGTGACGTATCGAGGTCATGGCTCGGCTGTAAAAGAAAGAGGGTTACTTTGTGGGCTTTGAATGGTTGCATGTCTACAGTTCTGTCTTGTGGTTTTGCTTGGGTTTTTATAATTTCCTTATTTTGAATGGGTTATTTTGTAAGCTTTCAGTGCTTGCTTCTCCCCAGCTGATCCCCTTTGTTTCTCTTTTCTGTTTTTCTTAATTTTCATAATTTGATTGATTAGGTCCTTGCAGAACTGGTTGCTTTATCTTTTTATGGGTAATATTTTGAGATTAATCACGAGTATCAGTTCATCTTTTCTCTTCATTCCTATTGTGGCAACATCTCTTTGGTAATCCGAACAGGTTGTTGCTGCTGATGAAACAATCACTTAATTTTCCCAGGATTAAGAGCTGATCAACTCCTGATCTGCTTTGTGGTTTTCAATGGGATGATTCAACCTTCTCTCTGGCTTGATTGGGCTATTTTGTTTGCTTGGTGATTCCACAGTTTTTGTGATGTTTACTGTTGGCTGATTTCCTCTTATGATCGGTCTGGACATTTTTGCTTTGGTGCTGCCATGGTATCTTTGCGTTGTTGTTTTTGGAGCATCTCACTGCTTCTGTTCCTCTGTGATGTTGGTTAAGGAAATGCTATGAACCTGGTGGTGTGCTGCTTGTGTTCCTTGGTTCATCATGTCGTTGTCTCGTGTGTCTTCTGGTTGAGCTCTTTGGATTAATACAGGCTAAGCTTTAGAAGAGGTTAACCTAAATAATTGAGAGAAAAAGGCTACCAACATGCTGTATATTAGTCTTCTTCAAACATAGTAACTTCGATTTTTGGTGTTGATTTTACATTAATATTCTTTTTAATTTAATCTTTTACGTCGGCCATATTATTGATTTTTTTCCTTTTCAAAAAAAGAATTGGGAACAGCCCACACTACAATCATGACTACCAACCTTGTATAAATAATAATACTTGGGAACATGTTTGATGTTAGTTTCCTCCAAATTTCCTCTCGGTTTGACAAAAAGCAGCATTCTTTTTTTCATTTAATCTTCTATATTATTGATCTTTTTCTTTTCCCTTTGTGTAAAAGAAGTGGGATTAGCCCACACTACACTAAGCATATATGAGAAAGTTTGTGGAAAACAAGGAACAAGGAAAACAGCTTTGGCTTTTGCGTTAGTATTAAAAAAAATGCTCAGAGCCCTAACTTTTGGTTCAAACAATAAATATATTGATTTCAAAGGGTTGGATTTGAATTTTTTTTTTCAAATAAAAAAATTTATTCAACAAAAGAAAAACGAAATAAATCTTCTATGACATGATAATGTAATTTGATTTCTTAGTGATATGATAACGTCTAACTATCATTTAATGAACAATAATCATGAAAAATATACTATTATTAAAAAGAAAAACACACCACCTTTCTTATCATGCTTCTTGACATTGACAATCTCATTAGCAATTCTATAAAATTAATTTTATTTAATCTTGCATGTTGACCATATTATTGATTTTTTTTAATTTTATTATCCTTTTCAACAATTTCCCACAACAAGATGATTACGGTAAAGTGAATGGGATTTTGGTTTTAAGTTACAACGAGTTGCCTTTTCATTTAAAACCGTGCTTCTTATATCTTGGCCATTATCCAGAAGATTGAGAGATCTAAAAAGAGGAACTCATTCGATTATGGATTGCTGAAGGTTTCATTTCACCGTCATGGGAAAGCAGGGAAAGAATGCCAATGGAGGAAGTAGCTGAACGTTTGTTAGAAGAGCTAATAGATAGATGTTTGGTTCAAGTTGGGCAGAGGGACCATACGGGAACAGGTGTGAAAACATGTCGGATACATGATCTCTTGAGGGACTTGTGCGTGCGAAAAGTTCAAAATGAGAATTTTTTGGAAATTATTCAACCATCATCTATGGAAAATGATGGTCATGTGAACTTGACACAATCTATGGCACGAAGAATTGCTATTCATCCTAGCAAAAGGTATGTTTCTTTGAAGGAAAACCATTCAAATTTACGTTCTCTTTTGTTCTTTCAAGAGAAATTGATAGAATTGAATATTTCAAAATGCAATGATTTTAAATCGTTAAGGGTGTTGAATCTTGTGAGAGATGATGTGGAGACGTGGCATGTGCCAAGTGAGATTGGTAACTTACTTCATTTGAGATATTTGAAGTTGAGGTCAAACCTTTTAGGAGGCGTCATCTTGCCACGGTCTATTGGGAAGTTGAAGAATTTACGCACTTTAGACATCTTTCATCTAAAATCAAGTATTCCTGATCGTTTATTCAAGTGGAGATGCTTAAGGCATGTTATAGTGAATGATCTATCTATTAAACATGTGGATTTGCTGGGAAGGGATATTTTAAAAAATATTGAAACTTTGATGTACATATGGAGCAAGAGGTTAATTCAAAAAAATGCAGTGCTCGACTTGACTAATATTCGGAGTTTAACAATATCTTTTAACAGATCAAAAGATGTGGAACTTATCGTAAAAGCACTGATTGAATCACAACGCCTCCGTCATTGTACATGGGGATAGAGGTTTCAGCTTCAACCCCAGACTTGGAACCCCTTTCTCGTTGCCATCACCTATCCAAACTATCATTAAGAGGCGAGATACGAGAAGATCCACATTCGAGTCATCACGTTTTGAATTTTCTGCCAGCAAACATTGTCAACTTAACTTTGGAGTGCTCTAATGTGAAGCAGGATCCAATGGCTGTATTGGGAAAGCTGCGTTGTTTGAGGTCTCTCCAATTATTGTTTTTCTCATATAAGGGGACTAAAATGGTTTGCTCTGCGAATGATTTTCTTCAACTCGACTTTCTTAGTTTTCATGAATTATGCGACTTAAGAGTGGCAGATAGAAGAAGGCGCAATGCCACGACTCCGGAAGTTAAGTCTCATCAGGGTTCAAGTTGAGGATTTTTCCAGAAGGGTTGAGGTATATTACTACAATCCAAGAAATGGAATTAGTGGGAATGAGGAGGGCATTGGTAGAAGGAGAGGCTTTCTCTGAAGTGCGCCAAATTCCCTCAATCCAAATAAGGGATACGATGGGGTTAAAAGCTCTAATTTTGCAATGTCAAATCCTCAACTCAGAGTAGTTACATGTGAATTAGATATTTCTATGGTAATCTTTTTTGTTTTGATTTGGGTCTATCCTTTTCTAAGGACATGATGCCATTTTCCTCTTGGTGTAGGTAAATCTGATCATGGGTTCTGAAATGCACTCATGTCAATAAGAGCAACGAGGCGGATCACTTGGATTTGCTTTTTGATTGTTTGAAAGTTTAATTTGTATGTTTTGTTCCTTGTTACTGAATCTAATGATCAAGTGTTTTTTAGAAATGAATTGCTGTGAGTTTTGATTGAACCAATTGTTAATAATTTTGTAACTTTCACAACTCAAGGATTATCCATTTGTTCCTATTTGTTCCACTCTCAATGAGACAGCAAGAGGGCATGGTGAAACTGAGAATTCTAAGAAAGCAGCTGCTTGTCAACTCTTTCTTGTCTGATATAGGATTCCTACCTTATGAGATAACAAGAGAGGAAGATCTTTAATTGTCTAAAATGCTGCTTAATATGTTTAAACAATTTGACGATATTAGTACGCAAATAAGATGATGAAAGGGGAAAAAAATAAGCAGAAGGATTCATATAAAATTTGTGTAATCTATCATGCAAGTTGAAACGGGGACCTCCATGTGCAGAGACACTCAGTTAGAAATTAGAAGCTTCATTTCAATCAACTGAGAAGAATTTCTATACATGTTTCAAAGACCAATCTCTTAGACCTCACATTTGTATTATTTTGTGATGTTTACACATTTTGCACAAACATTTGCTAAAGAAGCAATTTTACTTTAACATGAGACAAGCCTACCGATGAAGCATAGATCGAAGAAAATGAAAGAGTGAGGATATCAAAAGAGACATTGGCTAACCGAACAAGTAATGCATATTTAGTCATCGCTTCAAAGTAATTAACAACGAAGCTGGTGATTTTCTTTTCGAAGAGACTAAACCTCTTTCATGCGTTCAGCTTGGTTCTCTAGAATGGAGCTCATCCACGGCACATTTCCATCTGTCAAATGATTCCACAAATTAGAGGTGAGAATATTCACGTGAAAGCCAGAGCAATATGAAAAATAGAAAATAGGCAGATACCTCCTGCGAGTGGGATTGCCTAAAATTTCAATATGAAGGTTCTCATATCTCCATGAATGGATTTCTGAAATGAATCAAGGTTTTTTCAAGAGTAAGTTGAAATAGCTGAAGAGGAAGGTTATTCCTTGCTGGGGATCTGGTTAAGGAGCCTTGTGGGGTTTGTAATGTTCCTCCCTATCAGAGACAGAATCAATGAACATCATAAATAAAGAGAACTACGAAATCATAGAAAAACATAAAATGCTTTTTCATGGATGTCTCACGATTTCAAATGTAAATGACAGCAGAAATTTCAAGCAGTGAAACCATCCATGATGACCAAGCAGGAAGATTACTCAAGCTAGACCTCCACTCTAAAAGTAAACTATCATACGAGAAATTAAGATTGAACCAATACTTATTAACCAAACCAGGTTTATACATTCATAGCCGGTAGAATTCCTGATTCCACAGCAGCCAATGAATCAGACCCTCGACAACAATCTACTCAACAGCTCTTCTCTGGTTTCAGCTCATGATTTTGTTTTTTGGAGACGCACCAATGAGATGTTCCATCACTGAAGGATTCAATCCCATACGCAGACTTGGAACCTTTCTCATTGCCGTTACTTTTCAAAACATTTTTTTTTTATGTACATTGAACATGGGGATCACCTCCATTTGCTTTCTGATTGTTTGAAAGTTTAATTTGTATTTCTTTCCTTGATAAATGAATTTAATGATCAAGTGTTTTTTAGAAATGAGTTGCTTTGAGTTTCACTGAATTGGCTCAACTTGTACTTTTAAATGTCTAATGTGATTGACGGTTTAAGACAACCATGATCACTACCGGTGTACAAAATAATACTACTTAGAAAATCATACAATTAATTAAAGGAAAGAACAACCTCCAAAAAAAAAATCATTAACTAATAATTACACAGATAAATTTGAATACCACGAGTCAATTAGGTCAATTTTTATAAATTTTTTTAAATGCAAACATGTAAGTTTAAAATTTTTTAAACTAGTCAATTAGGTCAATTAGTTCTTTTTTTTTTCTAAACTTAATTTCATTAGTTTTGTATGACTAGGTCCTTGTAGAACTGGTTCCTTGGCACCTAAATGTTTAGATCATTAATTCTAACCAATCAGGAAAATGAAAACAAAGGGCAACTGGTTAATCGGCTCCAAAATTAAATTTGTTCTTTTTTCCTTTTCTTTTTCTTCTTTTCTTTATTTTTATTTACGAAACTGGCAAAAACAATATGACTACACCCATTGCCACTAAGCTGAATTGGCTCAACTTGTATTTAAGATGTCTAATATGGTTGATGGTTTAGGACAATCATACATTTAATGAAAAAAAAGAACAAACTCTAGAGGAAAACAAATACATGTAAAGTTATTAACATTTTTATTTTTTTCAATCTCAATTAATATTCTTAATTGATTCTACATGTTACTCGTAATTTTATCATCCCTTCCATCTCAAATTGATTGTTGTTAATTTGTGGTTTGCATAACCCCCTTGATTTTGCATTAGTCAAAAAGCACTCAATCCCTAATTTTTGATAAAAAAAAAGTTTTCAAATATTTGATTCAATAATTAATATATGTATTTTTATTCAAAAAATTGAATACAAGTCCTCTCTTCTTCAAATAAAAAAAATCATTTGTCAAAAGAGACGTGAAATAAATCTTTTACTATTTGCTTATCAAGAGAAAAAAAAAATTAAAAAATGGATGAGGCAACTTTTCTATGGTATTCAAGGGTAGTACTTCCACCTTGTTTTGTGCTGCAAATGAAGTGACGTAAATCCAAAGACAATTGAAACAGATGGAAAAAAACTGAGACTTAATTATGTAAGTTCATGATTAAATACTAAAAAGAAGGTTTAATTTTAATTACATAAAATTTACATAGATTTTATTGCCTTTTTGTTGGAAGTCCAAACTTGTTAAAGATTGAGGAATGGACCGTCTTAAAACAGAGTAAATAGCATTCAATTAACTGTCCTTTGTTAATTGCTACTAATTTAAAAAAAATGAAGGATTTAAATCAATGTGAACACATTTCATGTTGGATTCCTCGAAATTCTCCTCCCGATGTGACAAAAACAGTAATTATTTACATTTAATATTCCATGTGGGTCATATATTATTGATATTTTTCTTCTTTTTTAAAAGAAGCTACAATGGCATATGTAAGACAATTGGGGCAAAAACAAGGCACGAGGAAAGCAGCTTTAATGTGCAATAATCATATATTATTGATAGATAGTGTAATTTGATTTCTTGATGATATGATAACACGTAAACATTATTTAATGAACAATAATCATGAAAAATACAGTGAAATTAACAGATATATTGGGTCGGGTTAATTTCTTACATTATGTTTTGTCACTCTTTGATAAGTGTCTATTTGCCGGTCACAACGCTAAAGCAATGTTGCTTGCTGTCTCCAGTCCGGGCTCATGGCTCAGATTAAATCACTTCATTTAAACACCAATAACAAGTAACTTAGTATTGGACTTTCTTAAAAAACAGAGTAATTTTCTCTATTCAAGAATTATTAGAGGACAAGAAAGTAAAGAAGAGAGATTCCTTCTGCTTTTGCTTTTCTTGGCCAATCTCAAATAGACAACACGCTTTCACACCTTTTGAAACAGAGAAATAGAAAAAAGGAAACCCAAACAAAAGGACTGAGAAAAGGATATCTATTTAGTCAAGTGTAGCCACCAGCTAAAGGTGGTACATATACAAGAAACAGGCGGATCAGTTTGAAATCCTAGAAAAGAGAAGTAATTTGAATC